AAAAAAAATCAAGTTTGGAGAAATAAAAAAAATGCTTATGTAAAATTCTATATAAAATTATACATAAGTGTACATGAACAATTTTTTTTACATTTGGTAATTGTTTACATTAGGGGACCCTTCCCCAACGTCCTTGACCTTGACATATGTTGCCCAGGGGTGCGTTCCAAAACCATATCTCGCTTACCATAAGCCGTTCCAAAACCATGAGGTGATCCCGATTGACCACGGCTCGATTGGACACCCCCCAATCACAGCGATCGGTGCTTAGGATCTTTTTAGTCTTAAGCGCTGTGAGTGGCTCGTGTCCAATTGAGCCATGTCCAACTGGGTGCCACCCCAAAACTATCATGGTCGGTTCATGATTGATTTGTAGTACCGTTCCAAAACACTTACTTGGTCGACCTTAGAGGTAATTTTTATGACATCGAAAATTAGAGAGGTTGTGAGGATTACCAAAGTAAAAAACGCGGGAAAATTGACGAAAGTATTGTATCGGTGATTATTCAAAAGAATTGCTTCTCCTCCAATTTTGATGAAATTAGGCTCATTCGACGCGTTTTTGCACAAAATGAAAGAATCTGGCAGAAAAAAATGCGGAACTGTCCTGCGAATCGAGATATTGCTTTAAAATTGATGACTATTGAGATTAGTAAATCTGTAACTACTACGTGTAAAAACTACAAAATACTGCAATTAAAATGCTGCCGTCACATTTTCATTCTCTATATACTACATGTGCATACGTGTTTGACTAACTTACTTCTACAGCGATATATTAACACTTGTTTATTCATATTTAAATCGTCTCCCTTTCATCGTTCAGGGATTTACATCTTTCCACGCAAAGCACAAGCTACTAATGCAACAACTTGCTTTTTGTTTGCTGCCATGAATACTAATAATAAACCACAAAATAAATTATAAAAATTAGCTTAGCAAGCAAGATTAGGATCAATCATTTAATTTACACGATAGAATATAATTTGTCAAGAAGCATATTATATTAATTACAAAATTTAATTTATTTTTCAAATAGGAAACATGCTGTGTATTCGTGACGCTGGTGTCACCTTGTAAGGAAGGCTCGTTCGCCAAGACGGTTGTAATAACGACGATTCTCTTTGTTGGAACGAATGAACTTTTATTGTTGAATCAAATTAAAATGTGTCCGAAACAGGCGATAGGCGATACTCGCAAGCCGATAATGGATGCACTCGTTTAGATGTGCGCACCGGTAATTTGCACTCTGCGCGACGTCAAGTAATTTCTCGCAGCTAGCAACGGAATGTATATGGCGAGCAATAACGAGACCGGCAAATCTCGCCGGCTACGCAGGTAATTCTCGCTCACAGAATACCTTCGCGGTACGCGTATATCGGTAACTTTACGTGACACGGCAGCGATGATGATAACCATAGACACAATTACGGCACGCAAGAATCGCCGAACTTTAAACGCGGAATGAAAAAGGAAGGGTTGTTGAACGCAATGTCAGTGGTACTTGTTGACGACTGATCCGGTGAGGCTGAATTCCAACAGGTAATCGCAGGTCTCTTCACGGGTCAAATATGGACCGGTGTGGGCGGCAATCCAGTCATCGAGCCTTTCTTCTCACCAGGTCTCCGCTGATCCTTGTACGGGTCAAATATGGACTCGTGCGGGCGGCAATCCAGATGTCGAGTCTTCCTTGGCGTTTGCGGCGGATGGATTGTAATGTACCTCCAATCACGTTGCTTAGTGATTTGTGCTATCAAATGCAACTTTCCCAATAAAATGCAACTTTCCTAAAAGAATAATGCCCAATTTCTTCACCTCTAGATAACTTTATCCAAGAGATATCTCCCAGAATACAATGGAAATATCTCCTGGATAAAGTTATCCGCAATTTATCTGGAAGTGAAGAAATTAGGCATAAGAGGGTTAGTGAAAAGTTATACCAAAGATATCCACTTACAGTAGTTCGATTTTCCTGAGAGCTCTCGTATTTCTTTTTGATCAATACGTAGCAAACCGCTGGTACGCCTCGCATTGCCGGCACCCTTCACGCAATTACTAATTGCGCACGTAGAAACGGGCAGTCAACATGGCTGATTCGTGCACGCGGACCGAGATTCCCAGATCGCCAACCGGAACGCTCTGTATGTCCCACCCAGTCGACACTGGCGAGTGATCTGGGATGCAACCATGCCTCCTCGGCCGCTGATCTCAGCAACCTTCCTTTTTTCCAAGGACGTCTTCTTTTCACAGTTTTTGTTGTGCAAACTTCGCACGCACGGATACGTACATCCGGAACTTGAAAACTGTAATGGCGGAACAAAGGCGCACGCACAAACCAAGGAGGGTCCTATCGCAGTAGGCAGCGCCGCCCTGGTTGCCAGTTAGCGCGACCGAAACGACGCACGCCAGCGCCAGACTCGCGCCCGCACGGGTGCCTACTCGGCATGCCCGCGCGCGAGGTTTTGTAATAATGTCAATTCGTAACATTCCGCCTGCCTTCATTAACCACTATTAACGAATTAACCTGAAAATTGTTAGCTTGAATGGGAAGCGGACAAAGTTTAACGATTGGTCTCTTTAAAATTATCTGAGTTTTAATAGTCGCTACTCGCACTAACCCGTCCTCATCTGGGTGAACAGAAATAACTCTTCCCATTTATCTGGTGGATATCTTTCGTCTATGGCTAGCACCAACCTTCACTGATTGAATTAGATTCAACCTTCCATTTGGATATTGAGTAGTAACGCTGTAAGCATTCTTTAGACCTTAGAAACTATCTGTTATTAGTTGCCACCTAGATAATCGGGAAAGGCGCGTGTCTTCTAAAGATGATTCCGGTACAACGTTGAGTACACAACCCATAAGGAAATGACCAGGGGTCAAAACGTTCAAATCTTCTAGATCATCGCTGCAAGGAACCAATAGTCTCGAGTTGAGTATTGCCTCAATTTGAACGAGAAGAGTAGCCATCTCCTCATATATTAATATTGCGTCTACAATCACTCGATGAAGATGATACTTCATCGATTTAACTCCCGCCTCCCATATGCCACTAACATGTGGAGGCGATGGAGGATTAAATTTCCACTGCGTGCCATCATTCGCCAATAGAGTGGCGAGACGTTATGATTCTGACGTCGGAGAATAATCGTTGCAGAGTAATATCTGCACCCTTAAAATTAGTGCCGCAGTCGCTCCAAAGTGTAGCACAAATTCGTCTCCGCCCTGTAAATCTTTTATAAGCAGCTACAAATGCTTCGACGGTATAATCGGTGACTAGTTCAAGATGAATCGCGGAGGTTGATAAGCATACAAAGAGTGCGACGTATGCCTTGTAAGTTCGAAAATTCCTTCCTTTCCAAGTTTTGACAGTGAGCGGTCCTGCGTAATCAATACCGGTGTTTAAGAATGGACGAGATTGTGTAACTCGTTCTCTTGGAAGTTGACCCATCAACTGCGGTGCCCTCGTACGGCGGAAACGTGCGCATCTCAGGCACTTGAGAATGTAACTTCTGACCGGAATGCGACCTCCAATAATCTAAAATTCTTCCCGTATGGTGCATAATGTGAGCTGTGTCCCGCCATGTAAGGATCTTCTATGGGAGTCGGCGATGACTAATGTTGTGAACCTACCCTTACAACACCGTCAGCATCCTTGAATGGTGTAAGCCGAGAAAATGGGTGTGAAACTGGAAAAGGTTTCCCACTGGACATTAGTTTGAGCTCTTGATGGAAGATAAAACTTTGCACTTTACCCAAAATTGTTTTGCAGCTTGCAATTCGATGGTGGTAAGGGGATACAACAATGAGGAGTTAGGAACCTTCCGAAATCGGTTGATAACTCGCTGACAAATGGCAGTGATCCGAAACAACCTTATTAATGTAGAGTATTTTAGTATAAGATCCCAACATTCGTTTAGGCGAGCGCAAGTAATTGCCACTCTAACAGGTCTCTCCTCTAATACCTCCCCGCTCTCTCCAATGGTAAGGTTCTTAGGCCAATGTTGTAATGATTCCAACAACCAGTCAGGTCCACTCCATCACTTTTCTCTGAAAGTTGAATTACCGAAAGTCCTCGAGTTGCCAAATCCGCAGGATTCTCCTGTCCTGATACAAGACCCTATTGTGCTTGCGGCAGGGATTCCTGAATGTAGCAGACTCTGTTGTGAACGAAGTCCTTCCACCGTGAAGGATGATTGGCAATCCAAGTGTACGCAACAGTAGAATCTATCCAAAGATAGACTGAAACATTATTCTGATTTAGGATCCTAAGCAGGTGTTTTACCAGTTTTGGTTAGAAGAACGGCTCCAGCGAGTTCTAAGCGCGGCATTGTCATTCGTTTCAACGGTGCTACTTTAGTTTTTGAACATATAAGTTGTGTATGGATTTCTCTGTTGCTAGAAATTAATCGACTGTAAGCTACCGCCGTATAAGCGTGCGGTGACGCATCAGAAAACCCATGTATCTCAAATAACCGATTATAACTTAGACCTAACCATCGTGAGAAACTGATGGCAAACAAATTCTGGAGATCGTTAATGAACGACGTCCATTTACTAGAGGTAATAGAAGGAATAAGATCATCCCAATCCAATCGTAAAGATCAAATCTCCTGCATCAATCTCTTTGCTCCTATTATAACAGGTGAGAGAAATCCAAGCGGATCATACAATCTGGCAATTGTAGAGAGAATAGTTCGTTTTGTGATAGTTTCAGTCTGCGGTTGGTGAAATGTGAATCTAAAAGTGTCAGCACCTGGATGCCATGATAGACCAAGTGAATGAACGATAGAATCCTCCTCAGTGAATATAGAGGAGTTAGGTATCCGATCCCTCTCTGGGATAGATTTCAATATGTCAGGATGATTGCTGACCCATTTCTGTAATCGAAATCCGCCCGCCAAGCAAAGCTGATTTACCCGCTGAAGACTTGCTTATGCTTGGTCGATCGAATCGGCTCCTTCGAATAAATCATCCACGTACCGGCCATGGGTCAATATTAGAAACTGCTAACGGAAATCTGTTTCCTTCGTCCTTTATCAATTGGAGTACGGTACGAAGAGCTTGAAAGGGAGCGCAAGTTAGTCCGTATGTCACTGTAGTAAGTTGATAAGCGACCCTTTTCATCTATCCATAAGATGTGTTGAAACTTCCAATCATCTGGATGGATCTTTATCTGACGATACATCTTCTCAATATCAGCAGAGAAAACATACCAGAATTGTCTGTACCAAATCAGAACATCAAATAAGTCGGTTTGCAACTTAGGACTGACATGCAACAGATCGTTTAGAGATACTCCCGTGGAAGTCCTACTAGAACCATTAAACACCACTCGCAACTTGGTAGTAAGACTGCTTTCCTTTACTACCCCGTGATGAGGTAGATAGTAAGCAGGGAATGGTTGTGACGATGATTCTGGAATTAACTTCTTGTATTGTAGAGCTGCATATTCAGCTACGAAATCAGAATACATCTTAGCGTAGATTGGATCTAATTCAAATCGTTTATTCAATTGGTGAATGATACGAACGGCCTTTGCCCTTGAGTTTGGCAATTGATCAACGGATTGCTTAAACGGTAATCTTACCACATATCGCCCCTGTTGATCCCTGGAGTGAATAGTTTGAAAATGCTCTTCACACTCCTGCTCATTTGGTGTTAACGTACGATCTTTTAAAGACGGAACTTCCTCCAACTCCCAGAATTTATGCAACATGTGGTATAAATCCTCCGTCGTGGTCACATGGCAACTTCGAGCATTCTCAAAAGCCACTTGGGATCCTGTTTGGCCAGAAATAATCTATCCAAGAGTTGTAAATTGAGCTATTGGATCGTTCGGTGATCCTCTGACGATTCCTTCTGCAATGATAAACCCATAAACATTGGTTCCTAGTATAAGGTCGATCGCATCTGGTTGGGTAAATTGACGATCAGCCAATTGCAAGCCATCCAAGTGAGGCCACGAAACCGAAACTATATGCACTGACGGAATAGATGAGGTAAGGTTGGGCAATATATGAGCCATAACATTGCATTCGAATTCCGATTGGAAATGCGGACTTAGTTTAAAACAGACCGTACCCTGTGATCCATTAGAAGTCTTTCCGCCAATACAATTAAGGAAATCGTCGAATGCCTACACTTTATTTTCAATCACTGTCCTTTCAGATACCAAAGAGACCTCCAAACCCTGATCGATCAATGCTCTTACATTAGTAACATTGCCATTAGGAGCCGTAATTCACACCTGTGCAGTGGCTAATAACACTCGCGGTGTCAGTATAGTCGGAGCAACGTTTGAATGCATAACCTGACGTTTTTCAGGTTTTGAAGTCGAAGTATTATCAGGTTTATCCGTTTCATTGCCGCTGGCCTTAGCCTTAGCTCCTTGAGAGGAACCGAAATGGATGGTGGTGATGTTTACGACCGCATTTTCAACAGCGTTTAGAAATCCGGCAAGCAGCTACTCGATGAGATCCCAAACAATTGAAACATAATTTGTATTTATTAATAAGCAATCTTCTCTGAGGAATTGATTTTGTATTGTACAAAGTACACATAGAAGGATGATGATTAGCTGAACAGAGAAGGCATTTCCTATCTTTGCTTGAATCTGTTTCACTAGATGCGCCTTGATAGTGAGCCTTAACAGTGGTTTGATGCGATTGAAGTGAATGTTTACCGAAACGAGCTTTCTCAAAAGCTTGAAGAGACCGAAGTCTCGAAAACAGAAATTCCGTGAACTGACGTGGGTGGTTCCTTCACAGAATCCAAATGCTGCTCCCATACTTTTACCGATTCTGAATCTAAGCGTTGGACTGCGATAAATACGAGGAAATCAACCCATTGTCCTGGACGGTTTAAATTCTCCAAAGACCTATATATTTGTATGATGCTTGTGTACAAACGTTCCATTTTCACAGCTGACTCTTTGGTCATGCGTTTAAGATGGAGCAGAGAACTTAAAGTCGCGTTCACCAGCATTCTCGTATTTTCATAGAATGCGATTAGAGTCTCCCAAGCTCGTTGAAAATTATCACCAGTAATTGCTATATTCCTTAATAACTGGGCTGCTGAATCAACCAAGCTAGTTTTTAAATACTGAAATTTCTCGATGGAAGAAAGAGAGCAATTAGTGATTACGAGAGAGCTAAACAGATCTTTAAAAGAGAGCCAATCTTCAGGATTTCCATTAAATTTAGGAAGGTCTATACGAGGTAACCTCGGTTGAACGTAGTATGACGTACCTGTTGGAACAGAAAAATCGAGACGACTAGAAGATGACCCGATTAAAGTTCCGTGGTCAGAGTCGAGCAGCAAGCTCATACGCTCTGTAGTTTCCAAGTAAAGTTCCCGAATAGCGACAAAGAAATTATCCGCGAAATAAAAATAGTTCTGAGAGTATAATCTATCTTCATAATTCAAATCTCTCAAAGCTATTCCAATGGCTTCGTATACAATGGAGAATTTCTCCCAATCATGCTTGAGCGCAGTGAGACGCGCATGGATTCTTTGAGAGTTTAGGTAGTTTAATCCGACTTTAGTTAAATCATCGTACGAACTGGCAATCAGCTTATTAAGCGCAATTTGCTGCTTCAAACGAGTCTCCATGTGTGCGAGTCTCATTCTGTCCCAACCAGCGTATCCGGATCGAAGGACCAAATGTTCGATAGCGTTCATTCAAAAGATCACACTGGTCAAGAAGGAACGAGACACACACACTTATAAGAACTATTAATATATTTAAAATTTAACAAAGAGACTATACGCAGCAATTTCAGTTCAGCCAAAACACAAAATAAACTTAAATTATAATTACGATATTTTGTTTCGTGCAATGGCATGTAGATTACGTCGCAAATTTACCCGAGCACTATTCGGACCAGATCGACTAACGGTGAACTCAAGATCATCGCCAAGCTTGTCCTTAAGAAGCTAATTTTAATTATTCAGGTTAAGAGAAATGCGGTAATTTTAATCTGAGGTTAGCTGTCAACCCGGCAAACCCGTAGAACATCGATCTGACTCGATTCAGGTTATATTTGATATTAAAATCAAAAGAACTGTAACTTAAATACGAACATGGTATTTAACCATAGACACAATTACGGCACGCAAGAATCGCCGAACTTTAAACTCGGAATGAAAAAGGAAGGGTTGTTGAACGTAATGTCTGTGGTACTTGTTGACGAGTGATCCGGTGAGGCTGAATTCCAACAGGCAATCGCAGGTCTCTGCATGGGTCAAATATGAACCCGTGCGGGCGGCAATCTAGATGTCGAGTCTTCCTTGGCGTTTGCTGCGGATGGATTGTAGTGTACCTCCAATCACGTTACATAGTGGTTTGTACTATCAAATGCAACTTTCCCAAAAGAATAAGAGAGTTATTGAAAGGTTATACCAAAGGTATCCACTTACAGTGGTTCGGTTTTCCTGAGAGCTCTCGTATTCCTTTTTGGTCAGTACGCAGCAAACCACTGGTACGCCTCGCATTGCCGGCAGCCTGCATGCAATTACTAATTGCGCACGTAGAAACGGGCAATCAATATGGCTGACCCGTGCACGCGGACCGAAATTCCCAAATCGCCGACCGGAACGCTCTGTATGTCCCACCCAGTAGACACTGGCGGGTGATCTGGGATGCAACCATGCCTCCTCGGCCGCTGATCTCAGCAATCTTCCCTTTTCCCAAGGACGTCTTCTTTTCACAGTTTTTGTTGTGCAAACTTCGCACGCACGGATACGTACATCCGGAACTTTGAAACTATTATGCACTAGCGGAACAAAGGCGCACGCACGAACCAGGGGGGTCCTATCGCAGTAGGCAACGCCGCCCTGGTTGCCAGTTAGCGGCGTTAGCGCGACCGAAGCGCCGCACGTCAGCGGCAGACTCGCACCCGCACGGGTGCGCACTCGGCATGCCCGCGCGCGAGGTTTTGAAATAGGAATGTCAATTCGTAACATATGCAGTAAGCTCTCTCCATATGAATCGGTCTGTCAGTTACGAACAGAATCCCTCCCTACTATCCTTAGAACATATATAAATGGAAGGGGCATTGTCTATACTTTTCATGGCTCGCGCTGATACAAAAATCTGTGCGAGAGAGAAAGGTAGTAAGGGATAAATGTTCTCAATGCGCATGCGCAGCATCACGTTTTACACATCTGTGTAATGTACGAATGTGTAAGGCGTCGTCTACAATACACGAAGTAAGAAGTATATATATATACTTAATATATGATCTAAACTACTATCCCACACCATCCAAGACCGTTCCAAAATAACTGTGAACTAGTTAATCATATCCCCCTCCAAACCTCCAACCAACGAGGTTGACCAAGGTTGATTTTGGAACGCACCCCAAGTCATGATCCTGAGTGACTTTCAACAAGTTTTAGCCGTCGCTCCTTATTCATTAAAAAGTTATTAATAAAAAAAGTTCGAAAAAATAACTTCTTATTTCTGTTGTATGTAATATTAAAAACTATTCTATCTTCCTTGCTTACGTAATGGCTTTCCCATAAAGGGAATTCCATCCCACCTCCCTCTTGCTATGGGGCGCACGACTTTCCACGCGAAGCAACTTCTGCTCCGCTCCCCCCCCCCCCCCCCCCCCCTCTCGTCAAGGGGCGCACGACTTTCCACGTGAAACGAATTCCATCCCATCTGGGGCTCTATTCTTGAAAAGCAACGTATACGAAAGCCTAGGGAAATACTATAGTATACGTAACGTATACTGTAGCACTTCCCTAGACTTTCGTATACGTTTCTTTTTAAGAATAGAGCCCCTGCACCCCTGCTGATTTCTGTTTTATATAGTAGAAAAGAGGCATTGTTTTTCAAACTTTTTGTTAATAACATTTTAACGAATGATCAACGGCTAAAACTTGTTGGAGATTATTCAGGATCATAATCTTGACAACGCATGTCAAGGTCAAGGTCATTGGGAGGGGGGGGGGGCCCCATAATGTAAACATTCACATTTCTCCAAACTTGATTTTTTCTAAAACTGCAAAAATTATCCCTTTAATTATTTTTGATGTTTTTGCATCATTATTATTTTTATTATACTAAAAAATAATTTTATTAAAGAAAAAGGGACATATGAACATGTATGGACCTCCCCTACAGTACAAAATATTGCAGTAATATTGCAATAACATTTCAATAGTGCGCATTATTATAAAAATTACTGCAATATTGAAATTATAATAGTTTATTAGAAATATTGTAACAATATTGCAAAATTTTAATATTTTGTAGAAAATATTGCAATATATTGTTATATTTTCTATAATATTCAAGAGTCTAGAAAGTACATCCATCCAGGGCTATATTCCGATTCCCTGCCCAAATGCCATCCAGGTATCATTCCATCTTTGTTATTTACCGAAAATTAAACAAAGATGACATGATACCCGCAGAACATCCAGGTGGGAATCCAAACATGCCTCAAAAAAGATTGGGAAATCTTCAGAAGACTCGCTATTCTCGTTAACTCGATTTGCATACTCCTTCCTATATCCCTAATAGCACAGATCTCCAAGGGATATTCCAAAGAATATTCAGAGGATATCCCTATGTCCTAAGAACGTTCGCTAGAACGTCCTTCGAATAAAGTGTGCTATTAGGGATGATCCTTGGACGTTCTTCCTTACAAGAAGCATATCCCTCTGGTGGCGGGACTGAGTACTTATTTACTGAATTGTAATATT